TCCCCCTCTATGCGGCACTGGTCAGGGCGCAGCTGGAGTACTGCGTCCAGTTCTGGGTGCCGCACTTCAAGAGGGATGCGGACAACATGGAGAGGGTCCAGAGGAGGGCCACTCACATGATCAGGGGGCAGCAGGGCAGGCCCTACGAGGAGAGGCTACAGGACCTGAACCTGTTCAGCCTCCACAAAAGAAGGCTGAGGGGGGATCTAGTGGCCTGTTACAAACTAGTCAAAGGGGACCAGCAGGCACTGGGGGAGTCCCTGTTCCCCCAAGCACTACCAGGAGTGACTAGGAATAGCAATCACAAGCTGGCAGAGGGTAGATTTAGGCTAGATATCAGGAGGCACTACTTCACAGTCAGGGTGGCTAGGATCTGGAACCATCTTCCAAGAGACGTGGTGCTAGCTCCTACCCTGGGGGTCTTTAAGAGGAGGCTAGATGAACACCTTGCTGGGATCGTTTGAGCCCAGTACTCTTTCCTGCCATGGCAGGGGGTCGGACTCGATCTGCTCAGGTTCCTTCCAACCCTACAAACTATGGAACTATGAATCTAGTCTGCTCTAGCATGTTGTAATTACAGCACATTGGAACAGCCTCAATGTGAGGCCCCCTATGCTTGGATAGGCCTCCTATGCTTGCAACCATACTATTTCTCTATGAGTACTGTCCAGGGAGACAGAACATCAGTGCAGACTTCCTACCCTGAAGACATGAAGTAGAGGACATCCCAAAGAAGGATGTTCCCGCTATGCTAAGAAGGAAAGTGAGGAGTCAAGTAATAGAAAATTCCTGCCCTAGTACTAGGGAAAGACAGGAGGGCAGACAGGACCAGAAAAGACCCTTTAAATGGAAGCAGTTCATAGCTTGGAGAGAGGAAGAAGGGCCTAGAGACCAAGAGAGGTCAATAACCCCAGCTGTGTGTTCAAAAGAAGAGGGGGAGAAAACTTGAACTGGAGTTCTAATGGAAGAGGAAGGGAAAAATAAGTGGAGACATAAGAAAACATCTATATACTACATCTAAAATATTTCCTTCACATCTTCACAAAGAGATTTAAGGGTTCAGTTTAGGGCAGCAAATTCACAAAAAGCTAGAGATTATATTTAGTCACAAGTAATAAATTTACTCTTTCCTGTTGACTACAAATAAATCACTTAGGTTTGGCATGAAGCCAAACAATATAAAATATATTGACCAAAAATGCAATGGCACTCAATATTTCATGATCATAATCTTAATGAGTGGAAGAAATAACAACAAGAACAACAATAATCCATAAACAGAAAAGGTGCTTGCAGTAATTTGTGTCCATGGACAACAGCTGTAGAGTATCTATACTCTTTTAAGCAACTGATTAATGAATTTAATTTTCCTGGCAAATACATCCATCTGTGATATTAATCATGACATTTTAACTATGGTTAGGAAATAAAGAGCTTGCTATTTGCCTATTAAGCACCTCTCAGTAGGTAAAATTCTGGCAGCTGAAATTTCTCTACACAATTAGTTTCAAACAAAATTCTTATGGCATTTTTATTAATTTAAATCAAGGCTAAAAATAAAGGAAGATTAGAAAATGGAAAAAAATGACTATCCACACAAGATTCTCTTTCACTGATTGCAGATAAGGAATTACAGCAAAGATCTGGTTTGACAAATACTGGTCTATATTTTCTCTAAACTAAGTCTCTTACTGTTTTGTAAATAATCACTGGGTAGAACACAAGGAAAGCCAAAACAGGAAGAAAATAGCATTAAAAACTTACCTTATAAACCTGTTGAAGAGGAAGACTGTACTACGGATAACTCTTGCTGTACGGGACTCTTCATGCTGAGATCTGGACAATGTCAAACCATCATCCATGTGGCCTTCATGATGCATTATAGCCTGTAATGGCAAGACAAAGAACAGATCTTTCAAACAATTACACCATATCTCTGAAAAAGCAATGGATTAGAAAAATGGCAAAGATGAATACAGTGAACCCAATATCATTAAAATTAGATTGCCAATTCCATGTCTTTCTCTGAGGTACCAATTATAAGGAGACGACCCTCCAAGCCCAAAGGGAGGTAATCCCAACATGGATCAA